ACACTCCACCCTCCCTCCCCCCCTCCCCCCCACCTTTCACCCCTCCAACCCATCCCCTCTTCTACTCCCCCTCCCCCTCAGCCATTCCTTTCTCCCCTTCCCACCATCTCACCCTCCTTACATAGCATTACTATGTTTCCCCTTACCTTTCTCTACATCATGTCTCCTTTTTTCCCAGACTGATAATAAACTCAGCTTCTTAATATTTGCCTCTCAGAAATTGTTCCATCTGAGGACTAAAATATATTGCCAACATTCAATTTAAGGTGTTTTTTTACCTCCAGAGAGAGAGAGAGAAAAAAGCATAGATGGGATTTCTAATGTCTCATTGATCATTTCTATTTTCAGCCACGTCTTGTCCTTTCAACATGCAGCATCGAGAATGTGGATCCCCGTGTTTCGACACTTGTACCAATTCTGAACAGTCCCAGTTATGTGAAGATCACTGTATAGATGGTTGTTTCTGTCCCCCCGGTAAGTCAGTATCCATGCTCAATTGTTTATAAACTTGCAGTTGCTTGGCTGAAGCATCTCTTGGCATTAAGAAAAACAAGTACCTTCTTCGTTATCGAAGTCACTACATGGAATTGCATTCCAAAAAGCATGGAAAGGAAAACAAGTTTGCAATAAAGTGTTTGCTCTTCTCTGGCAGGTGTAAAAAACTTAATATTTCAGTGCTCTTGCAGGAAGGACCATTTAAAGGATAAAAATAAACACCTATTTTGTCTCCCTTATGATTAGTTGACTTTAATTTGATTGGATTTGAGGCATTATAAAGATAATGTACATAAAAAGCATGGGGTGGGGAGAAAAATGAAAATTGCTTGAATTTTAAATAGTTATTGATTTATTTATGTATCTGAAGATAAAACAAACTTTAATCCTGGTTGTTTTGTAGTTTAATTTTAATTCTGTTTCTTGATCTACAATTGTATTGAATTTACAAATAGAATAGATTTGTTTGATTTAATCAAGGAAATTAGCTGAGTGCTAGAACACAATTAAATCTGTTCAAGAAGAACAACTATATATGTACATTTTCTTGCTGGAATTTTACTACATGGCAGCGTAAAAATCTGGTTCACCCTCATAAAAAATATTTTTACCTTGTATTTTTGTCTTGATGCCGGCTTTTATGAACATGGTAGAGATCTGTTTCTTTAACAGCTTTCCATAAACCACATTTATAGCAATTAAGGGCAAAATTCCATGTGATACTAGTGATAGGGAGGGAAGGAGGGAGTATTTTCATCAGAATCACAGCATCTATAAATCTGATGCTGTAGAAAAGCTTTACAAAGAGTGGATTTTTATTGGGACCATGGCTTCTTTTCCCACACACCATGGTTTCCAGTGAAGCATAACATGCTTCAGTGTGATCTGAAACCCTGCTCCAGATGTTGAAATAGTTCATGTTCTTTCCTGTATTTAAGGAAAATATAGCACATATTGATGACAAGAGTCACAGAGATTTATTACTGGGAATGATATAATGTACTCCATGTACTACTTCTTTAAAATAGTGAAATGAGCATGAATAACATACATGTTATTATCGCGTGGTGGCTCTGTGGCTAAGACACTGAATTTGTCAATCAGAAAGGTCAGCAGTTCGACGGTTCAAATCCCTAGCCCTGCGTAACAGAGTGAGCTCCCATTACTTATCCCAGATTCTACCAACCTAGCAGTTCAAAAGCATGTAAAAATGCAAGTAGAAAAATAGGAATCACTTTAGCAATAGCAATAGCAGTTAGACTTATATACCGCTTCATAGGGCTTTCAGCCCTCTCTAAGCAGTTTACAAAGTCAGCATATTGCCCCCAACAACAATCCGGGTCCTCATTTTACCCACCTCGGAAGGATGGAAGGCTGAGTCAACCCTGAGCAGGTGAGATTTGAACAGCCGAACTGCAGAACTGCAGTCAGCTGAAGTAGCCTGCAGTGCTGCACTCTAACCACTGCGCCACCTCGGCTTTGGTGGGAAGGTATTTAGTAATTTAGCATTTAATCATGCTGGCCACAGTTTGGCATTTAGTCATGTCGGCCACATTACCATGGTGACATCTTCGGACAGCACTGGCTCTTTGGCTTTAAAATGGAGATGAGCACTGCCCCTTAGAGTTGGGAATGACTAGCACATCTGTGCAAGGGGAACCTTTACCTTTAACATACATTAGTTATTTCTTGTTTAGGCACTGTGTTTGATGACATTAACAATTCTGGCTGCATCCCCATTTCGGATTGTTACTGTACTTACAACGGCAATTCTTACGCTCCTGGTACTTCTTTTGCCTCCCAATGCATTTCATGGTGAGAATGATGATTCTCTATGATTTAATAATATTTTATTAGAGATGATGGGATGAAAAAATAGGCATGTTATTGCATAGGTTGACTTGTTAAGAATATACTGGGCACAATTAGTAATGCTAAGAATGTCATAGGACTGTGAAATAATGTTTAATTATACACATAAAGGGATTTCTTTTTTGAACATGAATTCCTTGTTGCTTTGCACGCTTCTGAACCCACCTACAAATGCTTGCTGTGTGCATGCACAAAAATAGCTCTTATTTACAAAAGAGTCTTTCACAAAGTTGAAAAATATAGAAATATTTTTTTAAAAAAATGATTCATTTTTCTTCAAAATTTAAAAGCTTTACAAATTATAGATATCTATAAATCTATAGGTATATTTTGATTGTAAAAAGGTTCATTATGACATTTAGTTATTTAATTAATTTAGGTATTGCCCATCTCGATCTCACTCCAGTTGGCTCATATATTGCCATATCAATTCAATATATACCAAATTGGATGTGATCCAATCACTATATATAGGCAGAAACAAAATTAATAAGAATGCACTCAACAAGGGACTCTCTGTATCTTAACTAAAAGCCTGGGGAAACAATCAAACACATTGTTAGAAATGTCATAATTCTATTTGACTTACATGGTGGCAAGCAAATACTACCAAATATTTATTTATATTGGGTTTATTGAACCCTGGGTGTCTTATAAACCTTGTCATGCTTTGTGTAAATAGGCAAATAACTGAAAATCAACTCTGTTGGTCTCTTTGGCTGCTCTTCATTTGAGATGCATGTAGTTGACTGCATTCATTGTTAGTGACAGTAAGACCTAGTATTACCTTACATAACCTGAAGAACATTTGTGAAGATGTTCATCTGCCCAAAGAACAGCAAATCCCAGTTGAATGCATTTTTCTTCATTCCTACATTAGTTTACCACAAATCTGCTTTGCCAAATTGGAGGTCCTCTAGAGAGGATTGGAAGAGGAAAACCATGAGGAGGAGGAACATAAGGGGAAATTCCACTGCATGAAACTCTGTTTATATGACATTGGCTATAGTTCTGAGCATTTAACCTTCAACGTAGCCTATAACACTCTGTAAAATGCTGCCATGCCATGGCAGAGGTTCAAAATATGTGGGCATAGATAGCCTCTGTTTTCAGAGATGACTATCTACCCACATATTTTAAAGTTTAAAAATCCCTGCCACTGTCACCTATTTATCAAATGCTGGAAGACTATTATTATCAGCAATCAAATACTGAAGAAAAAGCTTCCGTAAATTATAGCAAACATTCAGAGAATGTTCTAGAATTTAAAGCTGGAATATATTTCTCATCCAAATCCATGATGTAGAATTTGGATTAGGATTGAGGAAAAGTGGGTATTCTATGAATAGAAGCCTAATTTGCAGGACCAATAGACTTCTTAAAGGCGCTTTAACTAGACAACTCCAAACACATTAATTTCTTTACCGAATGAAACAGGATTTTTAAAGTATCCCCTCTTACATACAAATGCGTCCTTCAGGATGATAGGAATTATACTGTTATGTTCATTAATACCCTGGATCTTTTAAAACATTAAGTAACACTGCAATAAAATCCTTAGTGAACATTCCATTTGGAACACCAGTAAAAATGTATTCCTTAATAAAGGTCAAAGGCTTTACTGAAAACAAGAGAATATGCATAGTACAACAACCAGCCTTTTTTATTATAAGGATGACTCTACTTTTTGTTTAATAATTTGTTGGTAATTTCTTCTTCTTTTTACTTCAGTTCATGCACAGGGGGGCAGTGGACTTGCACCAGCCTTTCATGTCCTGGAGTCTGTTCTGTTGAAGGTGGTTCCCATATCGCCACTTTTGATGAGAAACACTATTCCTTTTTTGGAGACTGTAGCTATATGCTTACTAAGGTAATCTGCCTGCCCAAGGCTACCTTGATGGACCTTGGAGTGACTTCCTATTCTTTAACATCAACACTGTAGTTTAAAGTTCCGGTTAAAGGCATTTTTACCAATTCTAAAGAAGAGACCCAAACCATAGGTCCTGCCCACCTGATTGTGATAACACAATCCAACAATAACTACAACATTGTGGGATTGTCACACTGAAAACAAGGACCCTCCCATGCATTGTTGTTACTGGGAGAAGTTCATCCTTTCTACTAATCTATGAATTATCACATATTTTCATTCATATCAATTTTAAATAAAGCTCCCTACTTCTTGATTACACTTGAAATCAGTGCTCAAGATAACTGAATCTTTTCCTCATCAAAAGTTTACCAATAAACAACAACAACAACAACAACAACAATTCAGTAGCACAAATGATCCACTGGAATTTGTGCAAAAATTATAATATTAAAACAACAACAAACTGGTGGGAACATAAGCCTGAAAAAGTCACCGAAAATCAGATGGTTAAGATCTTATGGGATTTTATTATACAAACAGACAAAATACTGGCGCATAATACACCAGACATCACACTGGTTGAGCAAAATAAGGTTACAATCATAGACATCGCAATACCAGGTGATAGCAGGGTCGATGAGAAGGAACATGAAAAAATCGCGAAATACCTGGACTTAAAAATCGAAATTCAATGATTATGGCACAAAAACAGCAATGGTAATTCCAGTGGTAATCGGCACACTGGGTGCTATTCCAAAAGCACTGGAATTACATTTAAAACAATTAAAAATTGACAAAATCACCATCAGTCAAATGCAAAAAGCTGCACTGCTTGGATCCGCACGCATATTACGAAAATACATTACGACGTCCTAGGCCCCTGGGTGGGGCCCGACTAGTAACCAATGCCAAATCTGGCGAAACAACTGGCTGCTGTGATACAATTCTGTTGTTGCGATTATTATTATTGTTGTTGTTGTTGTTGTTGTTCTTGTTCTTGTTCTTGTTCTTGTTATCCCAATTAGACATTATGAAATCATCAACCACTGTTCTGTTTTCTGGAATTTGAGGGATGGGTGAATACATGTATAATGACTGCACTTCTTTCTGATTTGTTAAATTATGATGTTCTGTTCAAATAAGAGGGGTGGGGAAACAAAAATTGCAACTTTTAAAGTACTTTGTTTTTGTAATTGTGGGAAGGAAATCCTGACCTACAAAAAAAAAAGAGCCAGGTGATTTTATTCTTATTATTTTAAAAGACAGGCAGCATGGTGGCTCAGTAATTAAGACATTGGCTTGTTGGCTGGAAAGTTGACAGCCCATGTTCAAGACCCTGAGCACCATGTGACAAGGTAAGCTCCTATCCTCACTCCAGCTCCAGCCAACCTAACAGTTTGAAAGTAAGCAAATGCAAAAGCTGATAAATAGGTACCACTTTGGTGGGAGGGTAACACTGCTCAATAATGTCATGCTGGTCACATGACTGCAGGAATATCTTCAGACAGCACTGGATCAATGGCCTTGACCAGGGTGGGTTCCGGCAGGCACTACTGCCGGTTCGCTCATGTGCACGCTGCACATGCATTAGCAGTGCAATTAAAATTGTTGTGCACATGCGCAGAACTGAAAAACAAGATGGTGGTGTGTTCTGACCCCCCTCGTCCTACACCAAAGCACACCGAGACAAAGATACTTCCAGGATTTATTGATACACAGACAGGCCCTTGGCAGCAATCCAGCACAGTCCAGGCCTTGGCAGCAATCCAGCACAGACAAGGCGGTGGCAGCAATCCAGCACAGACTAACCTTGGCAGCAATCCAGCCTGCCAAGCGAGCCCCCAGAGTTCTCCAGCTCAAGTGAATATGTTGACTCCTGCAAAAGGGTTTGTGCACAATCATTCCTTTTATAGTCTTGAGAGGAGTCTAATTACCACCAGCTGAGTGCAATTATCTCCTGTAACTGCGCAACTGTTCCTTATGCCTATTAGCTCTTTGGTGCTGGGCATCCAGGAACAACTCCCTTGGCTCCTCCCCACTGCTCCAATGCATGACATCTGGATCACACTCCCTTGTCTCCTCCCCACTGGTCCAAGGCTCAGGTGCCTCCTGGTGCCCAACCAGCCTCTCTGCACCCTGCTTGGAGTGGGAACCCTGTCCAGGGTCCTCCACATCCTCCAGAGTTGACTCATAGGGCCCTCGCTTGTCAGAGTCTGGTGGTAGCTCCAACGGCTCCTGCTGGGCCACAACAGTGGTGCCACCAGTGGAACCACAACTGGTTCAGCTGAACTGGTCTGAACCGATAGGAACCAAACACTGGCTTTGACATAAGGAAATAAGCACTGTCTTCTAAAGTTGGCAATGACTAGCAGAGTAAATCTTGCAGGGACTCCTTTACCTTTTTAAAAATATATATTATTATTTTAAATGCATAACTAGTTTAGAAGGAATGTGATAGGTTCAGCTAATGCAAACTGTTAATACTCTTTATTTTTCCAGCTCTGTGATAGCAACGCCTTTGCTGTTCTGGGAGAAATTCAAAAGTGTGGCCTGACAGAAACTGAGACATGCCTGAAAGGATTAGCTATAAACATTGATGGAGGACAGACAGTAAGTGTGAAGAACAAGAATGGATGAGAAGCACGCTTGCTCAATAATTTTAGGAATAATATTTTTCACAAGACCCAGTCAGAAACAGATTCAGTTTGCATGCAAAAATTAGTTCTCAGTTGAGCTCCTGATACTAATGTTAAACTTATACCAAAAATATGCAGTAAAAATGTTGACTTTCCAATTACAAACAACATATGCAATTCATTTTCTTTGCGCAATGTTCTGTCCATTGTTTTTTTGTAGGGGGATCCAGGTTCTGGAATGTTTTTTTCTTCTGTTAATATTTCAGCATTACTTTTCACTATCTATCCTGGCTAAAAAGTTTATTTCCTTCAAACTTCTTGCCTTGACTATGACTCCTCTCACTTCCTTTTCCTATTCCTCTTTTTCATGCTTCTCTCCTTCCCTGTTATTTTTTTTTCTCACATTTTAGTTCTTACTCCCTAGTTTAAGCTACCTTCCTGCTCGGCCCTCACTTTCTCTATTTCTTTTTGTACCTATATTCAAATTTGCCTTACAAAATTTCTCCATGGCATAGGAATGTTCTGGACATGAGTCTCTGAAAAATCTCAGAAAAATATTTATCCTATCGTACTTAAAACTTGTTCCAAATATTTCAGCATGTTTATTTTTGGCACACCAATATAATTCAACCAGTTATTGTTGAACCTTCATTCCAACCAATTAAATATGATATAGATTCCTTATACGGATATCTTGTGTTTTTTAAAAATGCAGTTAAGCCAAATAACGTGTGTATTGCCTAAAAGAGTTAATGAAAATCAGTATGACTGAAGGAAAGGTGTTTGGTTTATTGTTTTAATTTATTGTTGTATGCCTCTTTGAGTCATTGTGGGTGAGTCGAACATATGCATTTGCTTAATAAATACATACTGCAGTAAAGATGTACTTTCTCAGTGTATTTGCTCTAATCTCTCATTTTTTACTACCCAGGTGATTGTGATCAAGTCTAATGGAGCTGTGTATGTGAATATGATTCTCACTCAGCTGCCTATCTCAGCATGTGAGTTCTTTGCTATTTATATTCTAGTATTTTACACAATTTAAGGATTGATCTTTTGTTCATGGATTTTTTGAAATTCTATAAAATGTCTAGGTGTATGAATAAAATAATACCTCATCATTTGCCAATGATGGAAGAAAGAACTGAATGCTGTTAAAAGTCCAGTTTAGAACAGGAAAAGATTGATAGCAATGCATTACCAAAATGGAGTGGAGTGGAGTAGTGTAGAATTCTTTATTGGATGTGATTGGCCATTTAGATATTATATTAGACCTTTCCTTTGAAAGTAGGTACTAATTTATTGATCCTAAGTAATTGCTAATTGGGTTAATAAGAAATGTTAATCCTAAGAGTTATTAGTTTATAATAGTATCAGTTAATGATTGAGATGCAAAGTCTATGTCTGTATCAGTATAATGAGAAGCCCAAATGGATACACCTCTCTGCTTCTGCTGCAGCAACAACCACAGTTGCAAAACTCGTCCCTTGGTGGCAGATAAAATGTATGCTTTCATCTGAAAACTACTTCATTGTATGGTTTTGTTTCTACAGCCAATCTCACCATCTTCAAGCCTTCTTCATTCTACACTATGGTAGACACAAAATTTGGATTCCAGCTAGTGATACAATTTATCCCTATAATGCAACTGTTTATATACATGGATCCAAGCCGCAAAGGGCAGACATGTGGTAAGTGAATCAATGAGTCATTTTCACTACACAGAAGGATGTTACAATGATAGCAGTAGCCATAGCATTTAGACTTATATGCTGCTTCAGAGAGCTTTACAACCCTCTCTAAGCAGTTTACAGAGTCAACATATTGCCCCCAACAATCTGGGTCCTCATTTTATTGACCTCAAAAGGCTGAGTGACCCTTGAGCCTGGTGAGATTCGATCTGCCAAATTGCAGGCAGCCGGCAAGCCGCAGAAGTAGCCTGCAGTATTGCACTCTAACCACTGCGCCAGTGATAAAGGATTAATGTCTTTAATTTTTGTTTCAGGCCTCTGTGGAAATTTCAATGGTATCCAAACAGATGACTTTAAAGCTGTCAGTGGGGTGACAGAAGGAACACCTGCTGCCTTTGCTAATACCTGGAAAACACAGGCAGACTGCCCCAACGTCAAAAACATATTTGAAAACCCCTGTACCCTCAGCGTAGAAAATGGTATGTACATTTGTTTGTACATCTTCTCTGACTTATTTCACTCTGTGCTGCTGATACTGTGCTTTTATAGAATTCACAGTAAGCAGGGCTGTCCTAGAAACATCTTTAAAAAGAGATCTATGAGGGGAAAAAGATCTAGACACACATTTAACATTGTGTTTAATAAATATAAACACCCAGATGGACTGAAATATTTGATTGTTCTGCGGTTAAAGTTTCTTGTGTCCAGAATTATCAGGACATAAAGTTCATCTTCACAATGGACAATAATAAGGATTATCATTTCACATTTATGTCTTGCTTTTCCTCCAAGGAGATTAGAACAACATTTATTTATTTCCTCTCAATATCTTCAGAAAAGAGTCTTTATAAAGGAGATTAGACTGATTGGGGGCTACTGTGGACTTATCCTCTACAATGCCTTCCCCAAAATAAATAAAAACAGTGACATGTATAGTCACATATAGTCAGCAGAAAATGAAAAATCTATAATGTACCAAAAGTGACAGACCCATTATTACATAGCTGAGAGAATGCAGCTGTCTTCCCTGGTTTAAATTAGACTTTTGTGCAGCACAAGCCTGTCTCTTGAGATAGCACTAAGGGTTTAGGGCTAAAACCATGTTCCAGAGCATGTACAGTACAGTGTCAGATTGTGATGACAAAATGGCAATCAAAGCCGCACTCCTGTTGGTGCTAATGCAGTGAGTGGAAAACTTAGTAAAGAGGAATGGGGCTTTGATTACTCTATTGCAGGGGTGTCAAACTCAGATCATTAGTGAAGAGTGTGAAGTAGAGGAGAGAGGTAAGGGAAGAAGAGAGTGATAGGAGAGAAGAGGTGTCAGGGCTGCTTCACTCAGTAACCAAGAAAGAAACCATTCAACTCCATTTTGCAGAATTAAGAGTACTTTTACTGGTCATGAGTAGATGGTAGCTAAACAAAGCGAGGTCTGAGGCAAAAGCGTGTGTAATCATAGATATCAATATGTGACCCAACCCCCTCCCCCTGGTAATGTTAGTCCATAGTCCAATCAGTACAACCCACAGGTGTCATGTGGGAGACATCTTCAAAAAGCATCATCAAGCTGATATGCCGGACAGTTGGTCTGGGCGGCAAATCCCGTTGTTGAGGACTCGGAAAGTGCTCGACGTATGACCTGGCAACTAGCAACAGGCCAGGCAATGCCCTGATTGGCTAGGGCACAGCATCGCCTGTTGCTAGATGCTAGAGGTGCCCTGATTGGCTAGGGTGCAGCGTCATTCGTTGCTAGATGCTGAAAGCACGCCCATTGGTTATCCCTGCTTGACAGCCCGTTTAAATAGCTGTCAAGCAGGGATGGTGCTGAATCACCTGTATATAGTTCTATGTGAATAAACCTCTTGTTCTGGTATTCCTGACTCTCGTCTCGTCTTTCTGTTGATCCTCAAAACCCTTATCTGCAGCATGCGCAGTAGATGGTGAGAACACCTCCCTTTAATCAGTTTCTCCTGTACTGACACTTCCCCACCCACAAACAATGCCCCCCTCCCCATTTCAATGGCAGCCAAAAGCAAGCAGCAAAACAGAGGCTGACAAAAGAGGAGAAGAGGAGGACAGAAAGGAGGAGTGGAAAGGGGGAGAGGAGAACGAGAGAGGAAGGGGAAGTAGAGAAGAGAAGGACAGAGGGAAGAAAGGAGGTAGGGGGGAGGAGAGAGGGAGAAGAAAGTGATGGATAAGGTATATGGTGTATGGAGAGCAGAAGAGTCAATAATTGTTTTGGGGAGTTGATGGTAAGGTGAATTGATGTAAATATTTAATAATACAGTATGGTTGGTTATGTAATAGTATACATGTGATTATATGCTATGAAAATGGAAAAATAAAAACTTAATATGGAAAAAAAATCTTCACATCATCATGGCGGCATCATGTGAAGTATCAGGACTTTCCCCCTCTTTGCTAAACCAGGCGTGAGCGTGGCCAGCACATGATGTATCTGGCCTGTAGACCAGGAGTTTAATAGCCCTGCTATATTGTGTTTGTCAGTTTGATATAATTGATCATTGTTGCAGATTTATACAGAGGAGGTATAGCAAAAAAGGATACCAAAATGACACCACATTTATCTCTGTTTTATAGAAAAATATGCTTTACACTGGTGCGGTTTGCTGACTGACACTAAGGGACCCTTTCAGAAATGCCACTCAATAGTAAACCCAGATGTTTACCATACTGTGAGTAGTTATTTCTCTTCAACTGAAATGCCAAGATGAACTTAAAGATAATTCATGGGGAAAATGCATTGTCAAAATCAGAGAAGCCACTTAAGATTTTAATTGGTCTTTTTTTTAGCTTTCTATGTATTGGTTTTTTTTCCCATTCCCTACATTTTGTAATCCAATCATATATTTCTCACTTTATATAGTACACCAGAATGTCTACCTAGACAATAGTTAATAGTCAAATGTTAGTATGAAGTATTAATTCGTATATATAAATAGAATATATAGTTCCATTCTTGTGTTAGGTCTTAATTGGAGATGACAAATACTTTTTAAGCTGTTCTAAGTAGTTTGCATTTCTTGGACTATTATGTGAATCAAAACATTATTATACTTCCTGAATTTCAAATCTTGCAATATAGTTTATGGTTTAGATCTGCATAAGTGCAGAAACTCAATTAAAATATATACTGTACATTAGAAAAATGCATATTCTAAGTTAAGATGTGAACAAAATTCATATGTTAAGGCAAGTTGTATAAAACAGTCAATGTAATTTTTTTGTAATGTTTAAGAAAAATTGCAGAAAATTCAGAAGGAAATGAATTTTAATGGATTGGATTTAGATAGAGCCGTTCATTTCCAGTATAAACTCTAAGTTTACTTTACTGATTTATAGCACCTGAAGTATATGGCTATTCACTTTGCAGGATGCCATAATTCATGGAAATATCTTGCTTCCTGAAAGCTAATAAACTGTTACATATTTATACACTGAAAGAACCCAAGTGACTAGCATATGACAAATAGTTTAGGTGAAAGCAGAAAAAATACTTCAAATGCAATTTCTCCAAGTTGTTCATGATTTTGGCAAGGTCAGGCTAAAGCAAAATTATAGAAGTGGTGATTCTTCAGATACTACTGCCTACACCTTCTAGTAGCCCAATAGGAAGACAGGCTGGCTGACACTCAGTGATATCTGAAGGATCTAAGGATTGCAACCTGGAGATAAAGTGAAATATCTCTGAAGGAAAGTGAAGTTTGGTTAATCCTGAGGTCCTTTGTTTTTTCTAGAACTGCATGTTTGACACCTGTAACTGTGAAAAGAGTGAGGACTGCATGTGCGCTGCCCTCTCAGCCTATGTCAGGGCATGTGCTGCTAAAGGAGTATTGCTAAGCGCGTGGAGGACTACTGTATGTGGTAAGTTTAGAATAACAAACAAAAAAGAGAGCCAACCTAGAACTAAGGAGAAATTTCCTGACAGACAATCAGTGGAATGGCTTCACTTCAGAAATTATGGGTGCTTCATTGCTGGAGGTTTTTAAGGAGAGATTGGACATTTTTCTGGTTTGGTACATGATCTCTAGAAGACCTCCAACATCCCCTCCAACTGTTATTCTGACTGTCCCTACTTGTTTTTAACTCAATTAAAATGCTCCTGAAGGATCCCAGACCATTGGAAGCTGTCTTATGTTTCAGAGAAGAGGAAGAATATACATGCTAGGAAATTACCTAAAAAATAACTCCAAAATTAGCTTGGAATCAGGCACATCATTTGCTAAAACTTTTATTATTTTAAAATATGTTTGCATGTGTAAGCCTCTCATGCCTCAAGTTTGCACGTGCAAACTTCTCATGCCTCATATCTTGTGGGTAGGGTTGATTTAACTCTAGCCACCTCTCTACTGATTACTGAATTTTTACTGGACTCCTATTGCTTTTCATCAGTTGAAATTTTCTCTCCCTTTCCAAGACATCTAGTGGTTCATATGCCCTCCAGCCTTTTGCATTCAGTATCCTGTTCTCAGTTTCTTTAGGTTTTATATGTCGATAATACCCAGTATTTTAACTGCACTAGTGGCAGAAGTCAGTACATTTCTTTCAACAATCAGATTACTGTCTATGGCAGTGGTTCCCAAACTTGGCAACTTTAAGACTTGTGGACTTCAACTCCCAGAATTCTCCAGCTAGCTCTTCTGGCTGGAGAACTCTGGGAGTTGAAGTCCACAAGTCTTAAAGTTGCCAAGTTTGGGAACCACTGGTCTATGGTAATGGCTACCTTCATTGGTCAGGAACTTTTCTTTCATGAGCTTCATTTTTGGGAATTACAGAACATGTTTTGATGTTTGCAGATATTTGGAGATGCATATATTTACAGAGGTCCCCCCCCCCCGAGAGCGAGAGAGGGAGAGAAAGAGAAAGAGAGAGGGGGGCAGGCAGGCAGGCAGGCAGGCAGATAGAGTGGGGGGAAGAGACTGATAGAGTCATTGCAACTTGTTGTATGTATAGGAATTTCTAGTATAATTGCTACATGAATCTTGCTAATAAATCCATTCTTTTTTTCCTTTTTCTCTTCTCAAGCCAAATTCCAAATTTGTCCTGAAACCTGGACTTATCATTACAACATTGAGACCTGTCAAGCCACCTGCAGAGCTCTCAGTGAGGTTGATGTCACCTGCAAAATCAAGTTCTCACCAGTAGATGGATGCACCTGTGAAGAAGGGACATACCTGGATGACAATGGCAAATGTGTGCCTGCCTCTAAGTGTCCTTGTTACCACAAAGGATCTGCCATTCCATCTGGAGAGGTGGTTCATGACAATGGCATCATGTGGTGAGAGACTTCAAATAAACATAGTGGTGGAAAGAGAGAAGTAGCAGAAAGCCATGGAACAAAAGTATAGGGGAAAGCAATTGTATTCAACCTTGCTTGTGAGCTGACCATTCAGGACCAGAAATGCTTTCACAAAGTCACTTCATCTACTAGAATAAATAAAACTTCAAATCTGGTGTAGTGCTGTTATTTTACTGTACTTCTTACAGTGAGCTGAGTTTTTAAAGATGGAATGGAAGTACCTATTGATCAATTTTGTAATATTTTGTAGCATTTCCTTTTTTTCACATTTCCATCTGTAAATATTTTGGGCATTAAAAGATACTTCTAAATGACCAAATCTGTCTGATTTGAAAACCCAAGCCTTTTGGAAGACAGAAGAATGAAAACTTATTATTTTTGAAAGTAAGCTAGCAAGACTGAAATAGAACTGAACTTAATCAGTAAGGGATTCACTTTTTTATTGTTTGCTTTCAGCTAGGTGAAAAGTAAATTGGTAAAAGTGGGTTAAGCTGGCAATAATACAGTTGATCGATATGATTTTGTGGCCCATACATTTCTAACAGAAATGCTTCAAGTATCCATATAACCCCAAGTAAAAATCTCTTCATTTCTAACAATTGTTATCAAAAAGAAATCCCTTTCAGTATTTCAACGTGTAATGAATGATTCTTTCCTTTTCCTCCCCCTCTTCCTCCTCCTCCTCCTCTTCTTCCTCCTTTTCCTCCTCCTCCTCCTTCTTCTTTTCCTTCTCCTCCTCCTTCTCTTCTCCTCCTCCTCCTCTTCCTCCTTTTCCTTTTCCTTCTCTTCCTTCTCTCCTTCTCCTCCTTCTCTCCTCCTCCTTCTCCTCCTCCTCTTCCTTTTCCTCCTCCTCCTCCTCCTTCTTTTCCTTCTTATCCTCCTTCTCTTCTCCTCCTCCTTCTCTTCCTCCTTTTCCTTTTCCTTCTCTTCCTTCTCTCCTTCTCCTCCTTCTCTCCTCGTCCTCCTCATCCTCGTCCTCGTCCTCCTCCTCTTCTTTCTCCTCCTCCTCAACAACAACAAAGAAACTACTTATAGTTTAAAGTGTAATAAATCAGGATCATAAGTTTATTACATTTATTGCAATATAATAGCTGTCTTACTCTCTTACAGTACCTGTGTACAAGGCAAGCTTCAATGCATTGGGGAAGTGAAATCACAAACAGGTACAACCACCATTTTATTCCCTGTTTTATTATGATGGTGTTCCAGCCTTGTTCAGATCCAGCAAGAGAAATCTATGCCTAAAGCAAGCATACTATTTAGTAAGTGCAGTACTTTATGAACAAGTTTTCTATTTAATTTGTCATAATAGCACCACCACCACCACCACAACCACCACAACCACAAATCTGACAATGGCACCATTAAATGGCAAGATTTGTATAAACTGAATACCTAATTGGCTAATCTAGAAAGAAACACTGAATTAGATCCAATACAGCTCCCACAAGAGGAGAAATCCTTGAGTAAAGTTATTGGCTCAAGATACGCTGGCAGCAGAGACATGTGCAAATGATTTCTGCTGATTTCTCATTCCTCTGCAACATGCAGATTTCTGTTCTAGGATCTCTTCAACCCTCCAAATCAGAATTGGGGGACTGAGGAGGTTGCAAGGGAAGGAGGGCAGCCATTGAAGGCCCACAATCCAACCACTGTTTCTAAAACTGAAGTATGGATATTCATGTGGATTTAATTTGTGTGCTTCATAAGCAATTTGAAAACTTGATCAATTACTGTACATTAATTTTATTATTATTAAGAGGCATTTTCCAACTTTGGGAAACACGATTCAAAACTAAGAAACTTAAACAAAACAAGATTGTGATTCTTCTAACATGGGGTCCCATGTCAGTTGTAGTCATAAAATGTAAATTTGGCATAATATACATTGTGTAATTACCGAAATAAAATCTCAGACAGATTTTTTTTTCTTCCAGATTGTGTTGCTCCTATGGTCTACTTTGATTGTGACAATGCCACAGCTAATGCTCATGGAGTTGAGTGTCAGAAGAGCTGCCAGACACTTGATATGGGCTGTGTAAGTATGGCTAGTTAAAAGTGGGTCTGATTCTAATAGCTTTTTCAGCTTGGGTGGGTTTGCTTTCATAGTGAAAATGCAGAATAGAAATTTAATAAGTAAAACAGCATATTAGTAACTGAAATTATCATCAGTCGAGTTAAATATATGAAGCTGTCTGTCAGGAGATAATTGATTGTAATGAAAATTGTCTTTTTGCCTCTGAAATTGCCAGCACAATTTGGCACACTATCTTCCTATCCCTTGAGGAAGATACTGCCAAATAGAAATTAGTCTGATAGATCGCAAGAGATGATGGTTAATGAAGTATCTAAAAGTCTTCTCAGATCTTTCTGGGAGAAAGGAGAACAAATTCTTATGATACCGTAAACCTGTTTAACAAGCATGGTTTAGTCATGATTGTGCACTTTTATATTGTATTCTATTTAATTTATTAAGCTTATGCCAAGTCACTGGCCAGAGATGCATAAAAATAAACATTCAGGGACCCCTCTTTATATCTGCAAAAAGCCTTTGTGGCACAGTGGTTAGAATGCAGCACTGCAAGCGACTTCTGCTGACTGCTGGCTGCCTGCAATTAGGCAATTTGAATCTCACCAGGCTCAAGGTTGACTCAGCCTTCCATCCTTCCGGGGTTGGTAAAATGAGGACACAGATTGTTGGGGGAAATATGCTGACATTGTAAACCACTTAGAGAAGGCTGTAAAGCTCTATGAAGCTGTATATAAGTGTAAGTGCTATTGCTATTGCTTTATCAAAATTCCTGAAGGAAAAGGAAATTGAAACAACAGTGTACATATTAAAAATAGGAAGAACTGGCGTTAATTTGAAATCACTTTTTCTTTGTACGATATCTTAGAAATGTTACTTCTTGTCATAGAGTTTTGTCAGGTAACACTTTTTGTTAATCCTCTATTGCAGTACAGTACACAGTGTGTCTCTGGTTGTGTATGTCCTGATCAGCTAGTGTCTGATGGTACAGGCAAATGTATACCTGCAGAAGAATGTCCATGCATTCACAATGAAGCCACATATAAACCAGGAGAAACTATCAAAGATAAATGTAATACTTGGTATGTATAAATTGATGGCTGATATAAAGCGGATTGCATTTATATTGCATCCCTATTAATATCTAATATGTGTTTGGCTACCTAGCACATGCAAGAACCGAAAGTGGTTATGCTCTAATAAACCTTGTCTGGAAACTTGCTCAGTTTATGGAGATGGTCATTATACCACCTTTGATGACAAACGATATGCCTTCAATGGATTGTGTGAATACACACTGGTCCAGGTATTAAACTTTTTCGCATTCAATTTCTACTATCATAAATTTATAATTTTTTAGCCTTGAGTCTCCATATTTGTGTTCATAAAAACTTAACACCACGTTCTTTTCTGCAGAATCAGTGTAGTAAAAATAAGACAAATGTAGAAACTTTCCGGGTGATCACAGAGAATATCCCCTGCGGTTCTACAGGGACTACCTGCTCAAAAGCCATTAAGGTGTTCGCTGGGGTAAGTAACTTAGCAGAAGGTAAAAACATTATGACTTGTAGTAGTATGGACAAAGCAACAAAATCTGTAATATGAAATCTTTATATAATAAGTGGAAATCTTGAAATAGTATATGGTAAGCATAGGGCACTATATTTGCAAAAATATCCAAATGCCAGTGCAGAACTTGCCAATAATGGAAATCTCCGGCGGAAATTATTAGAAGCAATGGCATTGATAGGTGGTGTGAGTGGTTTTTGTGTGTGTTGTGTCTTTGATCAAAGTTAACTTCAGGTGACTGCCTGGAAAAATTCCTGCAGTTTTCTTGGCAAAGTTTTTAGGAAGTAGTTTTCCCTTTTGTATATTCTAGGGATGAGAGAAATTGATTGGCCCAAGGTCACCCAACTGTCTTCATACCTAGGATAGGACTAGATCTCATGGTCTCTTGGTTTCTAGTCTGATTCCTTAATCACGACACCAAACTTGTTCTCCATTGATAGATATAGGTACAAATACATATGTTCCTTGTATTTTATCTTTTAGAACTATGAGTTACTACTTACAGATGGAACATTTGAGGTGATACCGAGACTTGCTGTTGGAGGCGAAGTGCCTTTCACGATCCGATACATGGGCATCTACATGGTGATTGAAATTTTTAATGGAGACGTGACCGCAATATGGGATAAGAAAACCAGTGTGTTCATTAAACTCAAAGCAGACTTTAAGGTGAGGTGTGAATGCAAAATAGAAACTGAATCATTCTATTTATTTCTGAAGACTTGCACTGAAAATTGTTAGAGAATGAATGATACATTCATAATATAATGATACAGTCAATGAAGAACAATGTTTAAGAGTTAAACATGCACATTTAAATATTTACAGTAGTTGGTTTATTAAATGGATCCTATTATGGTTCCACTTTACAGTCAATTTAGCATTATTTTAGTTGCTAGAACCATTGATAGCAGTGAAAAAATTGTCATGTAAAACACAAAGGGCAAGACAATGTTCTGACAATATATTATGCAGAGCAATAAACACGATCGTTATGAATGACAATTCTCTGTTGACCTTGTTACAGCTAACATTCTTAACTGACTTTTTTTGCATTGTAAGAACGTAAATGATTGGCTTTAGAATAAATATTTGTGTTTAAGAAATACTGCAAATATTTTATTTGGGTGGACTGACCCCATTTAACATTGGTATTTATAGGGAAATTTTAATCATTCTTGATGAATTCTGTGAATAACTGAAGAGGTGTGTGTGTGTGTGTGTGTGTGTGTATCCCTTAAATTGATTGTCAACATATAGCAAAAGCAATACTTGGAAATCACACTGAACTATGGTTCAATGAAATATGGACAAGCATAGACCTCACATACTCCCTTCCCTAATTTTCTTGCCAATGTTTCCCATCTTTGGCAGCTTCCAGGTGAGTGAATTTCAACTCCTAGAATTCACATTGATAGCCATACTACTATGGAATTCTGGGATCTGAAGTCTATACACTTGAAAATTGATACGGTTGGAGAACCAAGTTCCTTATGGTTGAAAGAAATGCAAAAGCTTTCATTTCTGTTTCCAGAAGACCAAGGCAGAATACAGAGCAATCTCTCCTAGCTTTTTTTCTCCAGTTGCTATCCTGAGATTGGATGGGCAGAAAATAAAATTACCACTCACTGAGCATCTATGTCTGAAAATAGGAATAAACTTCAGCTTCTCTAATTCTGGACCAATACTTACAACGACAATACATTAGTAGACAAACTATGATTGACATTATGAACTGTTCAATTTTAAACCAGCTTTGCACAACCTCCGTTCCAACTAGCTTGGGACGAGAACTCTCAAAATCTCCCAGTTATCATGGCCAATAGCTGGAAACATCTGTTTAAAGAAATGTTTCAAAACAAATATTCTAAATCCTAGTTGCTGAAGTTGGCTTGAATCAATTAAACTTAATTATTAATGTTAATCATATCTCTGTGTCCAATCTCAGGATGAGCTCAATATAACCAAACCTTTTGCATGGGGAGTAAACATAACCTTTTTAGTTCTGCTAGGGATACTTGTGCTCCATTCAAGGATAACTTTTCTAAGCTGGGCTATTCAATACACAAGTATACGCACACACAATGTTGTAGAAAATGTAATTTCATATTTTTGGATTTCTTTCATTTTGAGCAATACGATATTCCACTGGGGGGGGGGGAACTGTATATTTCATGTGACAATTGTCATAGAGTAAAATACATAGGAATAGATTAGGTAATAGTTTGAAGAACTCAAATAGCTTTGGAAGAAATACATTCTTAGAAGGACAACCATGTTATGCTTTTGAGGAAAAAAAATTCAATTCCTAAAACTAATTTTGAAATAAATTGGGGTTAGGTAGAGATAGGCATGGCTATTTCGTTGCTATGCAACACAATGCTGTTTCAGTGTAATTAAAAATGTATTGGTTTCATAGATCCTTAATCATTTCGTAAATGCAGATTAAACATTCCTGGACTTGGGGTTTGTCTTTAACATACACAGCTTTGAGTACATGAGTTCAAACTATGTGTGAGAAATATATTTAAAGGTCTCTGAGTAATGCATATTCTTCAGCATTAAAATGGCTAGAACTCTAAAGCTAGAACTATCTATGCCCAGCTTTCAATTTGTTTTTGTTTTGTTTTTGTATTTTTCTCTGTGCAGGGTGAGGTCTGTGGCCTTTGTGGAAACTATGATGGCAATGACATCAATGATTTCACCACCAGGAGCCAGTCAATAGTAGGAGATGTCCTGGAATTTGGTAACAGCTGGAAAGTTTCTCCCTCTTGTCCAGATGCCTCAAGCACCAGGGATCCATGTTCTGCAAATCCCTATAGGAGTTCCTGGGCACAGAGGCAGTGTAGCATCATTAACAGCAAGACCTTTGATCTCTGCCATTCTCAGGTATGAACAGATCCATTTCAGAAGACTATATAGACCATTTGAACAAACTTTATGCAATACAGGTAATCCTTGACTTACAGCCATTTTTGTTTAGTGACCAAAGTTACAATATCACTGCAAAAGAATGACTTATGACCAGTTTTCACACTTACAACCATTGCAGCATTCCCATGGTCACATCATCAATATTGGGGCGCTTGGCAACTAGCATGTATTTTTGACAGTTGCCCTGTCCCAGGATCATGTGATCATTTGTGATCTTCCCAGCTTGCTTCTGACAAGCAAAATCAATGGGGGAAGCTGGATTCATTGTAAAGGCTGCATGATTCACTTAACAACTGCAGGGATTCTGTTAACAACTATGGCAAGAAAGATCGTAAAATGAGATAAAACTCACTTAACAACTACCTTGCTTAGCAACAGAAATGTTAGACTCAATTGTGTTCCTAAGAAGATGTAGCTGTATATTAACAAGATTATATGCATGTGATTGCTGAGATGAAGATATAAGAGCCACAAACCAAGCAACTGAAAAGAGATGCTATCATTCCAGCATTCCAAAGATTAAAAAAATAAATAAAACTTGTTTCAGTATTTTGTAATTCTCAGAGGATTCCTTTGTAACTGGGAAGTCCTTTTATTACCAACTCTGTCCTCTGAGACACTGTTTATTCTTTGGCAAACCTGACATGGTAATCAGATGGGGCATTAAATATGGTTGCTAATAGATCTTGGTGGTATAATATGAAGTGGATTTGACACATATTGCTTTCAGAACCTTTTAGCAGTCTTTAAGCTATCCACAAGTATGTCTATATTCCTTTTTAATTAGTTTTAAGTGACATCTGACCAAAGTATCTGGGAATATTAATAACTGAAACACATTACTGGATGCTCTATAATATGAAGAGTTAATGATGGATCTAATCAATACATAATCTTGCTCTAAACCTAGGCTAAATCCCATATATGTATGTATGTATTTAGTGTCACAACCCCTGTGACAGCTCGTCACAAGAGACCATCCAGACAGAAACCCAATATTTTTACTGTTGCCTTTGTTACATTTGTGTTG